AATTTTAAGTATAGCACAATTGAACTCCTCAATAAAGTCCCATGGGAATTAGATTTCCTTACAAGAATTAAGAAGGCTGTTGAATATGAAAACGGCTATAATCTAGGGCAATCAATTGATCCCAAAATGAAAAGCATTTTGGAAGGTAATAGTTTGAGTTTAAATGATTTCAAGTGGAAGTGGAAAAATGGTTTTGGATTTGTTGAAACGATAATTTTTATGAAATAAATAAATAAGGCACAAGAAAAAAAAAGGGAAATGGCTGCCTGCGTGGAAATTTATTAAAGTTGAATGACAACAACGATGATTCATATCCAGCATGTGTTTAAAAGGAATAAAAGCTCCTTTGATGCGAGGGTTGTACTTAGAGTGTTTGTATCAAACACTACGGCCAATGAGTGATAGTTCACTCAATCTCAAACTCCTCAGGACTCAGGGCTTATACAAGCCTCTGTATGAAGCCACTGTATGAAGCATCTAAAACAAAAGGGACCCTCACGGCAATTGAATTGCCTCCCTATGAGCACTTGCTGCCAGCAAGTCAACAAAAAAGAAAAAAAATAAAAAAAGAAGAAGAGAGCCAGTGGCGGGAGAGAGAACGGAGCAAAAGAAAAATGGTGGGTTTGCTTGTTGTGTTTAGTTGCAAAGAGACAAAAAAAAAGAGGAAGGCAGCTGAAAAAAAAAAAAAAAAAAAGGGGGCTGCGTTGCACAGCCCCTCTTTCTCTTGGATGATTGTGCTTGGTCTACTTTGACTACAAAATATGAGAGAAAAACAAAGAGATTGGCAATAGGAAAAGGGACTGCTGCAGTAAACAAAAAGAAGAATAGGCAAAAGCAAATACTCAACCCAGATTTGTCTTTGGTTGCTGAAGCAAGAAGACAAATTGCTCTCAAAGCTCTCAATATGGCCCACGGCAAGGCACCTCCTTAATCTGCATATCCAAAGAGAGAAGTCACCCACGTGGAAACAAAAAAATTTGAAATAGAAGAAAAGAAGAAAAGGAAGATTATGGGTTACCACGTGAGGCGTGAAATCTCAGAAGAAACAATTTGTTGCTTCTTTTGATGATGCATCAGATATTTTGGGGAAGTCTACAGGCTTGTCTAGAAAAGCAAATATATCAAAAGCTATCGCTTTGTTTGCTGGTTCCTTAAAGTTGTGGTGCACATGTCCTTTTAAAGGAAATGTCATATTGCCCAATCCTATATGGACAAGGGGCTTACTGCTTTCTTGGATGCTTAAGGGGGTTCCAATGCGATAAGGATGCTAATTCATACTTCACTTGGTGAAGGATTTTTATCCGTAGGGATTTTTATCCTTAGGTGTCTTGATCAAATTAAAAGACATTTGCTTTTGGCGCCAAGCCATAAAAGAATCAGTTGGAGTAAAGGCACATCTTGTTGTAAAATTGGCTCACATTTAGTATGCATGCGAAGGAGTGAGCGACCGGTCGCAAGGTTTGGGCGACCGGTCGTTTAGAAGCAGAGTCGAAGTCTGAAAAATTCGCAGGAAGCGACCGGTCGCAAGGTATCAGCGACCGGTCGCTATGTATCCAAATGGTCGTAGCGACCGGTCGCAAGGTATCAGCGACCGGTCGCCCCTGTGCTGTGCTGATGTTTTCTTACGTGTTTTCAACTGTGTTTTCGGTGGC